CTAGTAATGTCCGATTCATTCCACTATCCTTCCTATTCCCATTCCCCCTCTCTTCCCTTCATTCCCCTTTTTTTAATACAAAGTACTTCTATTCTTCCCCAACCCTCGCCTTATTGTGAAATTAGCATCCACATATCAGAGAAAAAATTTGGCCTTTGTTTCTTTGGGACTGGCTTATTTCACTTAGCATGTTTTATTCTTTTCTTTTTTTTAAAATATTTATTTTTTTAGTTGTAGTTGGACACAATACCTTTATTTTATTCACTTATTTTTTATGTGGTGCTGAGGATTGAACCTGGGGCCCCACACGTGCTGATCCACAACCCTAGCCCTCATTCTTTTTTTTACGGCTGAGGAATATTCTACTTTTTGTATGGCTGAGTAATATTCAGAAGTTCAAAATTTTATGGCTGAGTAATATTGTGTATATGTACCACATTTTCTTTTTTCCCTTCATCTGTTGAAGGGCACCTAGGTTGGTTTCATAGTTTAGCTATTGTGAATTGCAGATCTGGGTTTTAAATCCTAACTCTGCCACCTGCTGGCAGGGTCATTTCCTTTGTTTATAAACTTGTAATAACCCTGTGGTGTTTTGGAGAGAGAGATGATGAGGTTTTGCAGTTCCTGCTGAAACAGTATCTGGTTCTTTTTCTCTTCACAAAGAAGACTTTGTGAAGTTGTCCATAGCTGCTCACACTCATTCTTTCACCCCTTTCCCTCAATCATTCTCCTGGGAAACAGCTCTCACAAGCAACAGTCACCTTCATTCTAGATCTAGCATCTTCTCATTTGTCCTGCTACTTGATATTCAACATCATTCTTCTTAGAGATCATTTCTCTTTTTGGCTTCCTCTTTAGCTCTCCAGCTTCTCTTATTAAGCCTACCGTCCTTCTGCTCTTCTGCCTGTCATATAAGTGACTGTTCCGTCTTCCTGGTTGAGAGGCAGTAAGCCTGGTAAAGAGGGATGGGCAAGATAGGTCAGTGGGTGGAAGATGTATAAGTTACTGGATGAAGCCGGGTGCAATGGTGCACACCTGTGATCCCAACTGCACGGGAGGTTGAGGCAGGTGAATCGTGAATTCAGCAAAAGTGAGGTGCTAAGCAACTCAGGGAGACCCTGTCTCTAAATAAAATACAAACTAGGACTGGGAATGTGGTTCAGTGGTCGAGTGTCCCTGAGTTCAATTCCCGGTACGCCTCCACCCCCAATAAATAAGTTACTGGATGAGAGATTTGGAAATCTGTCCAGGGCCTGGCTATATTGCTTATCAATGCAAGTTTCCAATTATAGGCAGCTCATCCTTACTGGAAACTCTGCCCCCTACTGTTATAATTTTTCATTAGGGCCTGAGCTTGCTATTAGCAGTTAAAGAAGCTAGAGCATATTAATCCTTACTTTCTGAGTAAAATCATTAAAAGAATGTTTAATTAGGAGCAAATGACAAACTTGGAGAAAGTTTTCTTGTAGCAGGACTAAATTAAAGGGCCTGTCCTGAAAAGGTCATTGGAGTAGTCATGAAAGAGAGCACCTTCTCTGGGAAGAGTCCTCTACCTCTCATGACAACTGCTACCTCTAATTTAGAGAGAGAAGAGTTCTGGAAGGAAGAGTTGAAGGGCCAGTAGGAAAGGCCACCGTGCAGATGCTTCCTGTCTTTGTGGACCTTTGGCATTGTGCCTCCACATCAGTGTGGAGAAGATGGTCCACTGTCATCTGAAATGGACAGGGGCTGGTGCTGTGTGGAGGGGAGTTCTTTTCCAAGACAACCTCCACCCCCAACTCGACATTGGAGCACCTGGCTGAGTTCTGGTATAAGGTCCCCTCTTACTCTACTTGTAATGTGGGCTCTTAGAATCAATTGTTCCCAGCTGCACAGAGCTTCTGCCTCTGCCAGTTTAAGTCTGCTGGTTTCCACTGATATCCCCTTTCCTTCCTTTCCAACCCCTATTTTTCTTTCCATCTTGACTAGTAACATCCCTTTGCTAAGACTCAGCTGCCATTCTCTCTTGAATACTTTTGGCAATTGCTCTCTAGTCTCCAGACACCACCACCTACTCTTCTCTAATTCAAAACCAGTTGTATACATAACTTTGAATCTGGCCAAGTGGTACTCTGTAGAGTACCCAAATGACCAAGTCTTCTCATGCCATCAAAATAAAACCTTTGACCCTTCAAAGAAAAAAAATATTCTGGTTAATGCCTGGAGGTCTTCATCCTTACTCATACTGCTTTTTGGTTCTGGGCTGACTCATTTCCTCCTTTCTTTTAGTTCTTAATTCAAGATAGAGAAGCAAATACCCAGGGCCACACTGTCAACAGTCACTGGAGCTGTATTTTCTGAAGGCTATCCCAAGCTTTCCACTCTGACTGGCAAAAGAAAAGTACCACAAACCCTGGCAGCTCCCATAGCTCTCTCTCCCTTAGATGGGAGAGTTTCCATGCCTTTTGGACTGGGTCATTGTGAAAATGCACAAACACTCTTGCTGCTAGGCCTGACCCATGGTACCCACCAACGCCGTGTGCAGGTAGTGCTTCCCATTGCTTTTATCTACTCTGTTTCCCATTGTCACTCGGGGCTGCAGGCAGTAAACATTTACCTGAGAGGGTTGTCAACAGTTCATACCTGGAAAGCCTCCCACACACCTGCAAAACCTATCAGTGGGTATGTACTTTCTAACAGGGTAGGGGCAAGACATCAAGTTTTGCCATCTCTCAGATTTCTTTTCAATTCAGTTTCCCAATATAGCACAGATATTAATGCGCAAGTAATACCAATATGTAAAGTAAAAAGCCTAGTGGTATTAACAAGAGCCCGGGCCACTAGGGATACCAGGGCCACGGACACCTGCTCATATGCCTGTATGCACTGCTTCTCAATTGGCTTAAAGGAGGTGAGAAAACTTCATTTCTCTTCTTCCTTTGAAACACCTCTCATTTATGCCTTTTCTTTTTTAAACCAGAGGCCCAATTCTAACCTGATATTTTAGGATCCTGTTAATGAGTTTTGCACAGATAAGTATTCCTAATTGATTTCTTGAAATACCCACTGAACTCTGGTTCCCGGGAAATGGTGGGTTTGTGGTCAGGAGGTGATGGTAGAATTCTTTTCTAATCCTGTGATCTATATCTACTCTGGGACTGGTACATGCTCCTTCTTTTTCTGCAGTGTCCTCATTCAGCTGGCATTTATTGGGTATAATTTTAAGCCAGCTTCACCTGGTGTTTCAATTTGGGTCCCAAAAGGAAACAGATGGTATACTTAAATTAGGATAATTAGAGGAGGGTTTATTCACAAAGAGGCTGTAACAATGATGTACATGAAGAGTAGTGGATTCATAAGAAAGGACAGTATAAGGAATTAAAGTTTGAAGCTGTGAACACTCATTATTCCTAGGCCTGAAGAGACAAGATTCAAAAGACCCTGGCAGGAGAGTCAGATTACAATACACTGGCGTCAATCTTTGCCTGCTCTGGTTTCCTCTGGGGTCCCACTGGCTGAACCCAACTTGGTAAGCCAGAGGGCCTGGGTGTCCTTTGGTGCAGTCCACATGGGTCTGACTTCCAGGGCAGACAGCAAGCGCAGCATGGATCTAGAGGGGCAAACCAAAGACCTGGCACACAGGAAATCTAGGATTGCAATTAAACTCTTTGCTTGGTATACTCTGTGAATGATGTTCCAAAAGATAATGCTGTCTTCAGGGACACTGGTTTATCTAAGCAAATCTTTTCACTCACTACTTTCTCTACTGGGCATGGCAAAGCAGCAGAATTCTTGAGATCCTAAATATCCTCCTGAATTGGTCAGACAGTGACAAAGATAAGTTTTCCTCCTTCCTCAGCTTCCCTTTATCTGATAATCCACACTCTGCCCAGCAGACAGATTTGGGTTCTCTGAAGAAAGGAGACATTAGGAGTGTGTAGAGAGAGGAAGGAAAAGGAAGGCTCTAGGGGCTGAGAATGTAGGTGTGGCAGCTTCAATCCCCCCAAATAAGACTGTACATGGGGAACAGGGAGTCTGTTAAATGGGCAAGACAACAGTAGGGAAAGTTTCTAATGCTCTGTGGGCCAAGACCCCAGGGCATCAGAGATTGGTGGCTAGTCCCAGCCCTGGCTAAGCTAGTCTGCTTTAGCATGATGGCCAGACTGGGACCTTCTTGCTGGGCTCTCCTTCTTTGGAGCTTCCAAGACCTTGTAAATCAGATCTTTTTGCTCACATGGCTGCATGTGCTGAGGATACTTATGAGTGGCAGACAGGTGAGTCTGGAGTCTAGGTAAAGTAAGCAAGGGGTGATGGTTAGAAGCTCAGATTCAGAAGGCAAGCTGCCAAAGTTTAGATTATATCTTGGTTTCTTACAATCTTTGTGACTTTGGGAAAGTTATTTTAATGTCTCTGTTTTTCAATTTCCACATCTGTAAAAAAGGGAAGGATAATTATAACTACTTGCAGGGTTCTTAGGAGACAGTAATGAGTTAGTATTTGCAAAGTTCTTAGAGCCCAAGCTCATGGAAAGTACTGTACAAATATTGGTTAAATCCAACTTGAATAGCCCTACTTCCTGGGCATCTCTCAGGCCTGCCTGTGCAGATTCTTGAAGTTGGTGGTATTTTTCTTCCAGTCAATATACACCTGACTGACTATTAAAGTTTATGGGTTTGTGTGGCTCCTAAAGAGGGATAGCCAAATTGTTTCTAGAAAGAACAGGCCCTCTTGGGAATTTAGAAGCTGAGCTTTTGGGAACAAGGAGAGAGTAGATCCCATATGACCACTATCTACTTATGTGGTAAGAAACTATTTAAGGACATTGCTTGTTTAGGCTGAGGTAGGGTCATTCTGACCTGGCACACTGGCTTTTGGGCATGACTGGGACATTCACTTCCTCCTAGATGAATCGTCTTTCTTCATTGAGTAAGAGCAAATTCTGCCTTGGGCCAGGTAGTGTTGAAAAGCAGCACAAATGGGCTGTAATAATTCTTGCATCTTAACTTTTGTGTTCTCATCAGGAAGAATGTACAGACTTTTATCAAGGCAAGAAGTTTCTGCAGAAGACATGCCAGCTTGTTCAAGAAGATCCTGTTGGGCCTGTTGTGTTTGGGTGAGATAATGAGAATTCATGGAAGCGAGAAACACAGTCATTTGAGGAATGTTACCTGTGTCAAGATGATTACTAGGTGGAAAGCAATTTGACTCACAAACTGACCTAAAGGCTCTTTGATGTACAGCTCTTAACTACTTGTAGGTGAACCATAATTTATTGAATTGCACCTAAAGGAAAAAGTAAAATCTGAGAATAAGTTATTTTCAAAACTGTATTATTTGACAGACTTAAAATATTTCAGAGAATATTAGCTTATCTCTTTTTTATGTTTTGATTTGATGGAGAACACAATTTCTTGTAGTCTTTGCAAGAGAAACCTATAATAGACATTTCTTATTTGTTGGTTTACAAGTAAAATCAATCATATAATATGTTTTAAAAAGACAGTAAACCTTTGTTTAGAATGTACTGTCAGTGATGTATGGGGCTTTGATGTCAAAGGCAGCTGGGATAGTGAAAACAAAAATTATATTCTGAGGTGAGTCAGAGAGCCATGGGGTGAGGGCCATATGGTTGTATTTCCTAGTAGTAGCCTTGTTTACACATTTTTAAAATTTTTATTTGTTTATTTTTTGCGATATTGGGGATCAAACTCAGGGTCTACCATGTGCTAGGCAAGTGCTATACCACTGAGCTACATTTCCAGCCCCCTGTTGACATTATTTTGCTCAAGAGGAAAGTTTGGCCTTTAAACATTTTAATATGACTAGGGTAATTAAGTTTCAAAAAGAGGTGACTGATGCTGGGTGCGGTGGCACATGCCTATAGTCCCAGTCACTTGGGAGGCTGAGGTAGGAGGATTGTAAGTTCAAGATCAGCCTCAGCAACTTGGCAAGGCCCTAAGCAATTTAGTGAGACTGTCTCAGAGTAAAAAAATAAAAGAACTGAGGATTTGGCTGAGTGGTTAGGCACCCCTAAAACCTCCTCCACACACACAAAAAAGAGACAACTGGCTTGAGGAGTGGATGCTGATGAAACACACTCCAAGGGAATATGGTGAGACTTTATCAGATAAAGTAAAGGGGCGTGAGATTTCTCTTGGGACAAGTGAAAATAGGTGATCTTCAAATAAACTGGATTGTTCTTGGGAATCCCAAGAAGAAAACAGCCTCTACTCAGACCTTGAGGGGTGGAGCACAGTTTTATGGTAGGGCTGGGTGGCGTGATCTCTGGAGGGGCTTTTTTGCTCTGAGTCCCAGACACTCATGACTGGAGCTTCTTTTATCCCAAGGAAGCTCTGTTTCATTGACCTTTACTCTGTACTTTCTCTTTTTAGCTTATGCTGCCTACTTCTTAGCAGCTTGCATCCTGGATTTCCAGAGGGCACTGGCCTTGTTTGTTCTTACCTGTTTAGTGATCTTTGTCCTGGTTCACAACTTTCTGAAAAAATTATTTGGTGAAAAATTAATGAGATGTCTGAAACCCTTTAAAAACTCACGCCTGAGATTTTGGATGAAATGGTAAGATGTGAATCTCAATATCCTTGGTCCCACAACTTATCCCAAGCACAAGTCTCCTTCCCCTCCTCCTCCTCTTCCTCCTCCTCCTCCTCCTCATCCTCCTCCTCCTCCCCCCCTCCTCTCCCTCCTCTTCTTCCTCTTCTTCCTCTCCTTCCTCTGACAGTCCCTGAGTGGTCTCTCAGATCTTCTTCTATACTATACAAAAGCAAAGTGCAGAGGACATATAGCAACAGGCCTCTGAGCACTGGACCTTAGTCGGGTTTCTTGTAGCCTTGGGTCTCTATATTGCTAGGTGAACCCAGGAGGGGTTCAGTTCCAGAGAAGATTTTCAGTCTGTTTCTCATCAGGGCCTATGTCAGAAATGAGAAGAAACATGTTCCTCTTCAATGAAGTAATCAGAACAAAGAGGCTTGCAGCTTCAGAAAACTATCCAGTTGAGTTTGTGGTCATCTCCCCTAGTTCTCTGATACATTAAAGCCTTTCTTCCCTCACCTTCTAGACTTCTGTCACACACTGGTATCCTTTACAACTCTTTATAGTTTAAGGAACAAACTTAGTGTTCGGGTATACGGAACTGAATTCCACGGCAGATGTAGTTCATCTAGCTATGACATGCATGTATACTTTGATTACAGGCCAGGAGTGAGAGAATAACTTCTGGACTTTCTATAAAGTTCCTCTTTGTTCCTATTTTCCAATGGATTCAGAGAAAATAGGTGTTAAGGATGTTTGCAACAGTGATGATTTGGAGAAACTACACCGGACTACCATCTAAATTTTGAATCATTGATTTATTTGACACTGGAAGGATAGAGCTAAAATGACCTTATTTATTAGCAAGATGGATTCTGGAAGCCAGATTTTATGCATTTGAAGTGAAATGGGTTTACAGTGAGAAGAGATCTGAATTTCAGCCCTGAAATTATAATATCTCAGTTGAACAGTGTGCTCTTTTTGTTCTGTTTTCATCTATGATCACCCTTCTGATCCTTTTCCTTTGAACTTGAAGGATTCTAACACTCAGACATGAGGTAACCAGTCTGTGTATTAATCAAATGTGTTTGGTACGTGAAATACCACAAAACCAGAAGTAGTTGATTTGTGACTAAGCCTTTACTTTTACCCTTGGACTGGTTAGAAACTGGGTGAAGACCCATGGTAGGGGTTAATACATCATTTTCCTCCTTTGGTTTTGAATATTTGGGTCATTCATTGGAACAGTCTTTGAGAATGCATTTTTGTATCATATGTTATTGATATAGAAACTTGAGGAAAGGGAAGTCATAGGATTTATGTCCTCTAGTTAGAAACTTCATTCTGTGAGTAAGTTGTGGGGAAAGAGGTGGAAGTTAGTGAATTGCCAGATGAATGATTCTCCTAGTATATCTCTGTGTCCAGTCAACAATGAACTATTGAATTATTTCACTTTTCCTTGGGGTTATCTTCTGTTTTTCAGAGGTAAAGTCAATTGTTATTCATTCACTCAGTGGATGACACAGTCTTAGCATTCCTTCTTTAGGGTGTTCAGAGGAGCCTGTGTGGTTGGACTTATCCTATGGCTGGTTCTAGACACAGCTCAAAGGCCAGAGCAGCTGATATCCTTTGCAGGAATCTGCATGTTTATCCTCATCCTCTTTGTCTGCTCCAAACACCATAGTGTGGTAAGTTTTGGGTATTTTGGCACAGAACAGGGGCCAAGTACTAATTACAAAGAATCAAGTGTTCATTACAATGACATAGAACTAAGTTTATAACAACCTGTAGAATTTGCCTCTTTGACAGTTTTATTCCAAAGAGAAGTTTTAAAGATCTCAAAGGTTTTAGGCCACTTATTTTTCAAACTGTAGGTTGTGATATGTTACTGAGTCTTAATGTACATTTTGTGGTTCTAGGCCAGCAAGAATAAAAAAAGTAAGAATTAAAAAAAATAAGTGAAGAAAGAAAAAATAGAATATAATGGAGAATTGTGCTGAAGTATTTGTTTATAAAATTTATTTTATTGTAAGTGTCCTCTAACTTCTAGAAAATCATATGGAGACATGTGGCTCTTGACATTACTGTACCATTTCTCCTTACTATCCCTCTCCTCTCTGTGCAAATTTACTCTAGATTTACTGTTGATATCTTGGGTTAGTTCTACCTGGAGTTCATGTGTCCATTTTAAAACTGCAACCAGGTAATGGATAGCAGGCTCTAGAACTCACATTGTAATAATTTTATGATTGATTCCAGGTGTCTTGGAGGACAGTGTTTTGGGGCCTGGGTCTTCAGTTTGTTTTTGGGATCTTGGTCATCAGAACTTATCCTGGATTTATTGCATTTCAATGGCTGGGAGATCAAATACGGGTATGGGAAATTACATGTAAGGGCTTAGTTCTTTTAGAAGCCTAGAGAAAGGAGATTTGAGGGAAGTATGGGAAGGAAGGCTGTGCCTAGTTAATAATGGTGGTGGGAGATTTGATTGGGAAAGGAGAGAGAATCCTGGGGTACAGCTAAGAATGTGAGGGAAGAGAAGCTACCTGCTGGGGACACAGCCTGCTCACAGGCCATCAAAGGGAGCCAGGCTCAGTAGCAGCAGTAGGTCCTAATCATCCATGGGGGCGGATTCTATCTCTCTGCCTGTGTCCTACCTGGATTCACTTTGTTCTTGTATTTTTTTCCCTTTCAGATTTTCCTGAACTACACTGTGGCTGGCTCCAGTTTTGTCTTTGGAGATACGCTGATCCAAGATATTTTTGCTTTTCAGGTTGGATCTATTTTATGGTCAGGAATGATAGTGGAGGGGTTGGGAAGTAAAGCAGAAGATGATAATGTATGTCCAGGAGATCAGCCAGGCTGCACACTGATTGGATCCTAAGAGGATGGTTTAATACCATCAAAAGGAAACAGCATCCATTTATTGCCTTTTGATCATTACCATCCTGAAAGTGGATGAAATGAGGAGGGGGAGGTTTAGAAAATATCTCCTTGAGATGTAGTACAGATGGGCTAGTAGATTTGTAATACATTTTGAATATTTTTTCCTAGACTACACTGTATCAGATGTGCTTGGAATTCAAGAGTTTAATTTAGAGGCCTGAAACACAGTTTATTTATGGTATACTTAGCACATACAATGTAATATCTCACCAGCTGTCCACCACTCTCCATTACAGTCCTTACCAGTCATCCTTTTCTTTGGATGTATGACATCCATTCTCTACTATCTGGGCCTTGTACAATGGGTAGTTCAGAAGGTGAGTTGTTTTCCTCCTCTGGTTGGGAGATGGGTCTTTATGTTGGGATCTGTCAAGGCCATGGAAGATGACACTTTGGAATAATGTTTATATGTAGGATGTAGAGTGTTTGAATTAATGTGAAAAGTCAAATCATCCCAAGCATGGTGGATATCAAATGGTGTGTTAAATTTATATCACTATGACAAAATATCTGAGAAAATCAACTTAAAACAAGGAAAGGTTATTTTCGTTCAGTTTCAGGAGTTTCAGGCCATGGTAGTTTGACTCCATTGTTTTTGGACCTGTGATGTGGTAGATCCTATGACCAGGAACATCTAGTGAAGCAAAGCTGCTCACCTCATGGTAGCCAAGGAGCAAAGAGAGAAAGAGGAAGGAACAAGGGTTCCAATATCCCTTTTAAGGGCACATCCCCAGTGTTTAACTTCTTCCCACTAGGCCCCACCTCTTAAAGATTCTGTCACCTTCTAGTAGTGCCACTGGCTGGTGACCAAGCCTTTAACATATAGGCCTTTGGAGAATATTCTAGATGTAAACTATAGCAAGCCTCAGGTAGTCTTGGGGGGCAGAGCAGGGAGCGAAGTTGGGCTGGATCACTCTTTCATACTGAGTTTTAATGTACTTGTTCTAAAGGCCAAGAGTCCTGAGTTCTGGTTAAGGCTGTTTGTAACTTCTCTAGGCCTCAGTTGCCTTATCAGTAGAGTGGAGAAGGAGGGTTTTACTAGTCATTCTCCAAGATTCCTGCTAATACTGATGGTTTAGGTCTCTATGCTTTTAGATCGCCTGGTTTTTGCAGTTCACCATGAGAACCACCTCTACAGAGACCCTGGTTGTGGCAGGAAACATCTTTGTGGGGATGGTAAGTATCCGGAGGACTTGTGGTCTTCTTTTCTCACGAGAACTGAGAACTTTGGAGAAATCAGGTTCACAGAAGTATGCTTTTCTTATGAAAAGTCAAATAAATGAAGACTGTGAGGGGCACCCAATTCCTGATGAAAGAAATCTCAGGAGCTCAAAGAGGACCCAGCTCATTGTTTTCACTCTTCAGTGTCTACTAATATTTACTTGGGCATACTTAATCTGAATGATCCAACTTTTTACATAGGAATTTAGAGGAATGTCATAGTCCAAATCTTATCCCTCTTCAGAAACAATAAAGGGTATTTGATCTATGTTTTTTTTTTTTTTTTTCCACGTCACTCCCTATGACCTTTATTTTCCAGGGTCTCTAAAGAGACAAAAGCTTGTCTTGCCCAGGGCTAACACTAAGCCTCTTCCTTATAACAGTTGTTTGGTACATTTATCTGTGTGGAATATAGACTCAATGTATGTTTTTGCCTATCAGCTCATTGTTAAGGACAATGGCTTGTCAAATTGACAGTTAGAATTGAGGTCTTGCTCTCTAAATGCTTAGACTGATTACCTGCTTCAGAAATGTTCTCAGAGTACTTCTGGATACTTCTGAACTAGCCCTCCATGTTTTGCTAAAATCATCCATAATCAGCTTAGTTTTTCCATGCTAGACTATGGAAGTAGGAACTTATTTATATTAATATCCTTAGCATCTAGTATAGCACTAGTCACATGGTTGGTACTCATTAAATCAAGGTTGATGCTAGATTTAGTTTCCATAGTTGCACCTTTACATTTCATAAATATCATTTCTTTTGACTCTTTCAAAAGAGTTGGCTTAGATCATTTACTTGCAATTCATTCAATGAATACTTTGTCAGCATTTAGTGTTAAGACTCAGAAAGTGCTCTATATTCCATAAGTTCATTCAGGAAGTACATGGCTTTAGAAATTGAGAACATAACAAAGGAAATATGCCATTTCTTTTCTATAACATATTAAAATATGAATAGATGAGACACACATGTGTGGAAATGAGAAAGAACAATGCCAGCCAGGACCAGATTAGGTGTTGAGGGGAGTGAGGCAGATGTTGGGAGGGATCGAGGCAAAGCTCAGAGACCCCCCTCAGAGGGGCTGTGTCTCACTGAACAGCTCTCACACTGAGAGATGTGTGTCTAGTGGGTCCAGTCCCTATGCTGGGATGGGCACTCTAGTGGAGTCACACCCTCTTAGCATCTGAATGTCTTCTCCTTGTTTGTAGACAGAGGCACCTCTGCTCGTCCGTCCCTACCTCGCAGACATGACCCTCTCTGAAATCCACACAATGATGACTGGAGGGTTTGCCACCATTTCGGGCTCTGTGTTGGGAGCCTTCATATCCTTTGGGGTAGGCATGGTCCATGGGATCTCTCCTGGGTGAGTACCAGCTGGGTTCTGCCGAGACCCTGATCCTGGGTCTGAATTTACAGATTGATGCTTCGTCCTTGATTTCTGCCTCTGTGATGGCCGCCCCTTGTGCTCTTGCCTTGTCCAAGCTGGTATATCCAGAAGTGGAAGAGTCCAAGTTCAAGAGTGTGGAGGGGATGAAACTGCCTCATGGGTGAGTCCATGAAGGCATATAATTTGGGAGATAGATGGTCAGGTATATGGAGAGTCAAGAGTGGCCCTTTGGTGGCAGAGATTTCAAGTCTCCCTGAGAGGAAGAATGTGATTCCATCCTGGCTCTTGCCTATCTCTGCCTCTAGCTAGTCATGTTGATTTTTCTTCTCTGGTTTAACCCTCCTATTTGCCGCTAGCTTTTGCATGCCAGTGTACCATTTGTTGTCTGCTTCAGTGCAGTTTCATGGCCATTACATCATTATATACTGCTTCAGAGTCATTTCCACTAATAGGGCCCCTAAGGAACTCCATCACTTTGTGTCACATTGGTCTTGTACCCACATCCTGCACTGTAGGGACAGTGGGATTTCTCTTCTCTGAGGGCCTGAGACTGCTCTAGACACCATATTCTTCCCATATGCCCAATGAGCACAGGAAGGAGAGGAATATCCTGGAAGCTGCCAGCAATGGAGCCACAGATGCCATAGGCCTTGTTGCTAATGTAGCAGCCAACCTGATTGCCTTTTTAGCGGTATTGGCCTTCATCAATGCTGTCCTCTCCTGGCTGGGGGAAATGGTGGACATTCACGGGCTCACTTTCCAGGTAAAGGATTATCCTTGTTGGGCTGTCACTCTGTCATTAAATAGTGCTTGAACTGGGCACATCATCCTGGCCCATAGTAAGCTAAGAGCATAAATGGGGGAGGGGAGAGTTGGGCCAAGGTCCCAGAAAAGGCCCTTGGTGTCTAACCTTTGTTATTTGTTTTTTCCTGGGTTGTCTCTCTTTCACTCAGGTCATCTGCTCCTATGTCCTGAGGCCCATGGTTTTCATGATGGGTGTAGAGTGGGCAGACTGTTCAATAGTGGCCGAGATAGTAGGAATCAAGTTTTTCATAAATGAGTTTGTGGCCTATCAGCAATTGTCTCAATACAAGAACAAACGTCTCTCTGGAGTGGAAGAGTGGATCGAGGGTGAGAAACAGTGGATTTCTGTAAGTGACAATCCAGAAAAGCATAAGTAGTGTGAGGTTTCAGCCATGGCTGTCTGAGGGTAGATAGCAAGATACTAAAAAATTTTGTTTCAGACAAACATGTCTTTCCACAGTCACAGGCCTACCCACAAAGCAAGCAGAACTTGTGCTTAGAAGCCTCATCTTCAGTACCTGAACAACTTATTCTGAGATTGGTGTGCTATTTCTCCCAGACACTTTGACCAAACTTCTTTCTATAATGTAATCCATGGGTCTTTACAGTGAGGACAATCCAGGGAAGACAATTTTATTTTTTTGGTACTGGAGATTTCACCTCAGGGCCACACACACTGAGCTATACTCCTAGTCCTTTTTGTTTTGAAACAGGGTCAATAGGGTCTCACTAAGTGGCCTAAGTTGTCCTCGGTCTGTGATCCTCCTGCCTTAGCCTTCCAAATAGGGGGGATTATAGATATGTACCACCATACCTGGCAAAAGGAGCGGTTATTTTCTAAGCATTCTTTGTACCTCCCTTAGAAAGACTTAAGGCTGTAAGTACCCTGGAACTTCCATCATGATTGTATGGATGCACATGTGGGACTGAATTTATCTACTTATTTCTGTTTGTTTTTCCTAGGTGAGAGGTGAGATCATTACAACATATTCACTCTGCGGATTTGCCAATCTTAGTTCCATAGGAATAACACTGGGAGGCTTAAGTGAGTTGTCCTCCAACTCCCCACTAAGCCAGCCAGACCCCAACTTTTGTAGTGGGCAGTTACTGGTACTCAGAATAAGTTGAGACTAGATAGAGAAGCTGATGTGAAATGGTTCTCCTTGGGCTGCAGTTAACTTAAAACTAAATCAATATTGCTACCTGGCTCTGCATACAGTCCTTTACAAACTTTAAAACTGAATTTTACTTGCTTTTTTCCTATCAGGGGCCCCAAAAGTGGTTGTTATTTTTTATGTTCCCCATGGAGAAAATATTACAATGATATTATTTCTATTTTGCTGTTAAATGGGCACAGTGCATATGTAAGTAAGATACATTGCTTTTTAGTCAATAGTTAGGGTACTTTCTGAATTAGGCTGCTCACTAGTTGTCTTCACAGAAGCAGGATTTGCACAAGGAATCAAAAAGACAAATTAGATACCTTAAGACATATAAATAGTAAAGGCAAGTGTTGTAAAGTGTTCTATTGAAGGCTGAAAGTCACCAGGTGTGGGAGGAGTGAGTATTTGAAGCAGAAACAGATCTATTGAGGTTGCTATGGGTATTGCTGAATGTGGGTGATGGTTGAAGAAGGTGGAATGGTCTTGGAGGGCTGGGGCAGGGAAATTATTAGCAGATCTCAAGAGTTTGGGAAGGTTCAAGTTAGAAAAGGATCTTAGAAGAAATGGAGTAAAAGAAAAAAAAAAAAGTCCTGTGTGCCCATTTTTAAAAAATGGCAAACATTCTGGCAATCATCTTATTTATTTTGTAGCTGATTGAACATTGAAAGCAAAATAATTTCTCCTTATTTTGACTCTTTTGTTAAATCCCTGTCTATATCATTATTATGATGCCTGATTACTATTTGATTATGAGAAGGACATCTAGTAGTGGGATATGGACTGTGTGGCTCAGGTAAATGTTGTCCTCCTTAGTCCTCTGGCTCAAAATGGTCCTTCTAATTCTGGTGCAGGCTTAAGAGTGCAGACCTCAACTGGGAAGCACCAGGCATTTGCACCCATTTGAAATAATCCAAAGCCTTGCTTGATTCAGATATATCTTGGGTGTGTTCACAGAATCACTGAAGTCTGAGTTAGGGATCCCATAGGATAGTGTATATGCACACTTCTCTGGTCAGCCACAGGTGGTTGGTGGTAAGGAAGGTAGTCACCTGCTGCGTTTTTCTCCTCTGCATTCTTCCCAGTGGGGGCTCCTGGCATATAGCTAATTACCATGTTGTTTTGTCCGCAGCATCAATTATACCCCATCGGAAGAGTGACCTGTCCAAGATTGTGATTAGGGCCCTTTTCACAGGGGCCTGTGTGTCCTTTATCAGTGCCTGTATGGCAGGTAAGCCTCAGACTGGTCTCTTGGAAGACATCACTTCTAGCAAAAGACAACATATCTCTCAGAATATTGATCTAACCATTCATTCCACAGATGCATAGAAAAGGCACCTAATGTATAGGGCTCCTAGTCTATAAGCAAAGAATAAAAAGCCTCGATGAGCATGTGTCGAATCTCTGCCTTAATATCTCTGTCTTGTTTATCCAGGAATCCTCTATGTCCCCAGGGGAGCTGAAGCTGACTGTGTTTCCTTCCTAAACACAAGTTTCACCAATAGAACCTATGAGACCTATGTGTGCTGCAGAGAGCTCTTTCAGAGGTGAGCATCAGGACCCCTGCTCATTGAAGGCAGTTTCTGGGGGTGGGAGTAAGGTCTTGAGGGTAGTCCTGTGGACTGAGTGGACTGAGTGAATGAGAGGAGACATGGGCATTGGTGATGGCCTAGATTTGTGCTTTTTTCTCTGAAGTGCAGCTTTGGCATTAGCCCTACTATGCCCAGGTGACAGTTTCTATCTATATTGGTGGGTACTGAGGATAGAGGGGTAAGGGAAGAAGTAAAAGGGTGTTTTCTTTGGTAAGTGACTATATTGATTGTGGTTGGAATATAGATATGTTACAGGTCAAGATTTAGCTATAGTCCTAAGTGGCTAAAAGATCGTGGGCTTCTTCAGATAGAAATGAGACAACTGAGAAAGGACAAAGTTGAATTTATAAATCATGATGTGTTCATATTGTGTAAAAATGAACATATTTACCAAATTCTAGATGAAAAGAAGATAATATATAATTTAAGGTAAAAGAACTAGTTTTGAGACACACAAAAAAGGTTTTATAATTAATACTCTTTAATATTTTATAGCAGTACTTTTTAATTTTTTTTTTGTTAATGTGAGACTAGACTTTTTTACTTCAGATTGGAATGTTTCTGCAGATCTTGTGGTATTTGTCTCTCTAGTATGATATATAAAAGTGTAGTTAAAAGGAATAATTTGAGGAATTAGAATGTGTCAAAGCCAAAGGTGTATGTACCCGTGGTGATTATGGGTGAGTGAGGAGAGTTCTGGGAGAGAAGTCTAAAAGACAGCCTTGGATGAAATGCTAAGGAATTGCTGGGCTTGCATGCCTCCCAGCAGCTTGGGAGGCTGAGGCAGGAGGATCACAAATTCAAAGCCAGCCTCAGCAACTTAGTCAGGCTCTAAGCAATGCAGTGAGACCCTCTTTCTTAATAAAATATAAAAAAGGGCTGAGCATGTGGCTCAGTGGTTAAGTGCCCCTGAGTTCAATCCCTGGTACCAAACAAACCAAAAATGCTGAGGAATTTAGTTTTGATCCAAAGAATTCTGAACACTGACATGTTCAGGTATGCTCTTCAAAAGATCTTTCTGGTAGCCATTTGAGTATCAGGGAAACCAATAAACATACTATTATAATAGGTTCTAGTGAGAGATGGTAGGAGCTGATCCTAAGTGGTTTTAAGAATGGAAATGCGTGAGACCAAGTAGAATCAACAGGATTGGTCATCAGCTAGACAGGAGGAAGGGGTAAGGTGAGGAAGAGAAAGGAAAGTAGCTTTCTGCTGTGGAAAAGGAGACCCAAGTGCCAGTCATTTACTGAAAGGAAGAGGACCAGTTCCAGAATGGGAGTAAAGGGGAGAGATTATGGCCTCTTTCCATTTTGGTTGTGTTAACTTGGAAGTACCTGTGGGATCACCATGTAAAGCTATCATAAGCCACCTGGGACCTGGGGTTCAGGAGGGAAATCAGAGCTGGAGATGGCTTGGAAATTATCATTAAATGACCTGTTCACTATTTAGGTAGATGTTCAGGTGCTAGCTGCTTAACAAATTATTAGACCAAGTTAATGAATGTTACCCTGCCTGCTTGGAGGTTATCAGCAGAGAAGGTAACCAATGTACTAAAAAAAAAAAAATAAAGAGCCAACCCTTTTGATGAGTATTAAAGATTAATTATAAGCTGGATAGATCATTGGTCTGGCATAATTTTTTTGATCCCTGTGTTCTTATGACAGTGGATTTCCTAGTCACATACTGAGCGTCATTAGCAGCTAGAATCTAAAAAGATGAGGTTTTTGTCCAATTAATTTATACTTATTTAGTCTGATCTGTTTTCCTTTTGTAAGAAGAAAATGGCTTTGGGATACCACCTTACTTTTTAGATAAATTTAATTCTAGATCATTGCTAGGCATAAATTTTGCCTCAGATACCTGGCAAGGAAATTTCTAGATGGACTATGGTTAGGAATTGGACACAGGAGCAGAGACATTGTACAGGGTTCCTTGCTGGTATTATCTCTAGTATTAATGAGAAGACAAATTTAATTTGATTCAATTTATTTAGTTATGACTGATGGATACATTTGTAAGTTTCTGCTTTTGTGACATTTGGGGTAACATTTTTAGCTGCTTGTAAAACCTGACACCTTTTGTTGCCTTGTTTTTTATCTCTCTGGCTTTTCATTTTAGTACTTCTCTGAATGGCACCAACCCACCTTCTTTTTCCGGTCCCTGGGAAGACACAGAGTTCAGTGCTTCAGCCCTTGCTAACTGCTGTGAACTCTACACCAATGCCATCTGTGCCTAAGGCTGATTGGTCCATTTCCATAACAGTTTTGATCTTAACAGATGGTGAAGGCTTGCACTCAGGTTTCCCATTCTATAAAGAACTCACTAATATCTATAATAGTAAGTGTAAAAGATTCATTTTGGTTCACTATATCTCAATAATGAAATTAGCATTCATCTTTCCATTATTTGGATGCACCAAATAAGAAATTTCTCCTGCCATCTTCAGTTTTTATTTGAAAAAAATTACCATACATAAAAAAAAATCTTGTTCCTTGTTGTCACCTTAAAAATTGTACAATGCTGTGTGCTATAAAAATGATTTAGTATGTGTCATAGGACAGGGGTTGGGGGAACTATTTCTTGGAGTTCAGTGGGTGAGCTGGGTTTATATTATTAAATTTGTATATGAAAGATACATGAATATTTAATGGTAAGTTTTTTTTTTTTTTTCCTGGTTGTCACATATTTGTAAACCAGCAAGTTCCTTAAATCATTACAGAGTAAACAGAGAACACTTTCTGTACACAAACTTCTAAAGGCCCTTAACTTTTAGTATTCTTCCTTAGTGTCAGCCACATTTGCTTCAGGTTAACAGGGAATCCATTAGAACAGTGGTTTCCAGGGGGGCCTGTTTTGCTTCCCAGTGGATATTCCGCAGTTATCTCCACAGTTTGTTGATTACAAATAAGAGGATGCTACTGACATCTACTGGGTAGAGACCAGGATTGCTGCTAAAATTCCTACAGGGCAGCCTTTTACAACAAAGAATTCTCTGACCCCAAACTTCAACAGTGCTGAGGCTGAGAAATGAATTCACAATAATTAATATGTTTACTTAATATTATTTATAATATTAATAATATTATAGCCTTAAGGAAGCATTTCAAAAGTATATAGGAGTTCTTAAAAAAGCTAAACATGAAATTATCACATGGCCCATTCCAACTCTTCTCTCAATATATATATAAATTTACATATAAATGATAATTATATAAAAATTATAATGTACACATAATTTTTATTTAAATATGTGTATTTAAATAATATATAATTTATACATAAATACATACATATATATTTACTCAAAAGAATTGGAAACAGGTACTCAAGTGATGAAAAGCTGACTAAAACAGGCACTCAAACAAGTACATGTGCACACATGTTGATAGCAGTACTGCTTACAATACAAAAGTGGAAACATATGCCACTGGTGGTGGTGAATGTCTGTAATCCCCAGAGACTTGAGAGGTTGGGGCAGGAGGATCAGAAATTTGAGGCCAGACTCAGTAATTTAGCAAGGCCCTAACCAACTTAGTGAGACCCTATTTTAAAGTAAAATAAAATAGCTCAGTGGAAAAGCTTCCCTATGCTCAATCTCAGTAACCCCCCCCCCACACACACACAAAAACAAACAAATAAAAAAACAGTCCAAATGTTCATCAACAGATGATTGGGTAAAAAATTGTGGTTTATATATATGTACAATGGGATTTTGGCCATTAAAAAGATAATACAAGATATAGGGGAACCTTAAAAACATTATGCTAAATGAAAAAAGTCAGACATAAAAGGCTTACTATAGTATGATTCCATTTATATGAAATATCCAGAATAGATGGAGCCATAGAGATATGACACAGATTGGTGGTTGCCAGGGCCTGGGAGTGGAGTGTGAATGATTGATTACTTGGGTAATGGGAATGTTTTAGCGCTAATTAAGAGTTGGTGGTTGTGCCACATTGCCAGTGTGCTAAATGTCACTGAATTGTTTGCTTTAAAATGGTTAATAAGTTATGTGGATATCACCACAAATTTAAAAAATTAAGTATTTAGCTAATCTACCTCCTCCAACTTTCCAATTCTCTGAGCAACTCTCTCCCATGTTTTCCAGAATTGACATAAAAGAATAAAGAAAGCTTAGATAAATTGCCTCTTGAACTGCTGCTGACTGATTTTGCCATATGCCTGGTTTCTTTCTGAAAGGCAGCAGAACGCATTGATTGATGGTATTGGATACTAGGCTAGATACTGGGGTTCTCATACAGACGCTGCCACAGGGTGATTGGTAAAATCGTCTGTGTTTTGGCTTCTTCAACGGTAAAATGAGGATACTGATACAAACATAGGTAAAACAGCGACTGAAAGCCAGAGCTAGTTAGCTACAATCATTACTACGTAAGAAGCTGCGTGCAGGCCATCAATTTGTCGAGTTATGTATGAAACTCAGTTCACACAAGGACACGCGGAAGGTGGGAACTCCTCATCTCCCTTCGGGAACAAGGGCTGGCTAATTCTATTTCCTATTTAAAGTAAAACTGGTGTAAACTCTCGCACTTGGCGAGCCTCACTATAAATGCGGTAAGTATAACAATCTTAACACCAGCGTCTGCAAACAGGCTCGAAAGCAGGAACAGAAGCAAACGGCGACCTCTACCAAGAACCGCTGTTAGGCTGGCGGAAGTGGGCCGACAGCCAGGGCGCCAAGAGCTGACGAATCCCAAGAGCCGCACAATCCCGACCCTAGGCTCTCGGGCTCCGCCCTGGGGGCGGGGCCAACACGCCGACCCCGCCTTCCGTTTGGTGCCAAGGCGCCTGCGCCTGTCTTCCGCAGCCTGCCTCCGCCCTAGCAGATGGATACTAGGGTGTGAACGAGAGGCTTTGAGAGTCCTTACGAAAAAGGCAGGGAGGATCTGGAGAAATGGAAAGGGGCTGGGTTGACATGTGAGGGTAGGAGTGTGGAAAGGAGACCACAGGGTGTGGAAAGGAGAGGGTAGGTCGGATCACTGAGTAGGTAGTCTGTTATCTTAAACACCTATAAACACCTTATACCATAAGCCCCCCCCCCCCTTTCGTTTTTGATTGTTCCACAGCCTATCTTTTTTTGTTAATGTGTACACACATATTTCTAGGCCGGTACGTATAGATCTGTATAGATCTCCCTCACTTTTTATGGACTGAATGGGATTCCCTCTAAGGATATACCATAAGTTTTAGCTGTTTCTCTATTGATGGGTATTTAGATTGACTTCTGTTTGGCTAGTTATTTCTAGAGTCTAATTGAGATGCACAAAATTTGTGTTTGACTCTGACTTTTGATACTCCTTTAAATGCCCCCAGATCTCCTCTTGATGAGGGTCTTTGGTTAAGCTACTCAGAGTTATCACTTCTGTGGTGTAATTGACTTTATTATTATTATTAGGTTCCAATGATTGAACCCTGGGGTGCTTAGCCATTGCGCCACACCCCAGCTCTATTTTGTATTTAGAGATGAGGCCTCACTGAGTTGCTTAGAACTTCACTAAGTCACTAAGTTGCTGAGGCTGACTTTGAACTTGCGATCCTCCTGCCTCAGCCTCCAGAGCAGCCGGAGCCGCTGGGATTATGGGTGCAGTGCAGTTCCTTTTTATTTTTTTGTGGTGGGGAGTATTGAACCCTGGGCCTTGTATACGATGCAAGCACTCTTCCAATTTATTGTTATTATTTTTTTTGAGATAGGTTCTTGCAAGTTGCTTAGGGCCTTGCTAAATTGCTAAGGCTGGTTTTGAACTGGTGACCCTCTTGCCACAGCTTCTCAAGCGGCTGGGATTACCAGTATGTGCCCTACATCCAAAGAGTGTAATTGACTTTTTTTTTTTTTTGTAATTGACTTTTAAAACAGGAATAGAAAGATTAGGAACCACAAGAGGTAGATACAAAGTCCTGGACAGAGACCTTTTCAAGACATGAGGGAGTTCTTTTTTTTTTTTTAACTTTACCTTTGAGTAACATCCCCAGTCCTTTTGTTGTTGTTGTTGTTTCTTTTGAGACAAGAGCTCACTGAGTTGCTGAGGTCTCTCTAAGTGGCTGAGACTGGCCTTGAACTTGCAATCCTCCTGCCTCAGACTCCTCAGACACTGGTATTACATTGTTCCCTACCATGTGGGAGTTCTCATCTTTCTGAGCCTCAAATTCCACTTCTGTATAATAAAGATGATGATAATTATCTCTACCTTAAAAGTTACTAGAAAAATGTATAATGTATGTGAAAAAAAACACATTGTATAATTGGTATTTCAAAATTATTCTTTCTGGAAGTAATTAGAGTGTAAAGCCTTTGTTCTTTTATACGAAAACATTTGCTTGGTGATTGTTTATGTTCTTGGCATTGCCTAAGGAGTTTTACATTTTTTTTTCTCCCTACCTCATTTAATCCGTGTAACTCTTTGAGAAACTACTATTATCCTAGTTTTCTAAAGGAGGAAAGACAGGCTTAGAATTAAGTACTTTCCTTAGCGTCACAAAGTAAGTGACAGAGCTGGGATTTGAGACCAGGGTCTCCCTCGAAAGGCCTTGCTCTGTAACCACTGATTGCAATTCCATGCTCTTCTAGCCCTTCCTGCCTGTCTTTTCTCTCTTACTCCAATTTCAAAGTCTACCATTTACCCCAAGTCATCTCATCAGTTCCTAAACTCAAAAAGTATTTTATACTTTCTGCCCTTCCCATGTGCCAATCACGTTCTGTTGTGTAACTTCTTTTATATTTTTGCCTTATACTGTTATCTGTTCTCTTCTACTACAGCAAGTGGAGAAATGGTTGCTATAAAAACTGGCAATGCTCTCAAAGATAAAATCATTTTATTTGGCAAGATCAGCTCTTCACATATGGAGGTCCATGAGGGCAGAGACCTGTTTTGTTACCAAAGCCTTATGAGCTAGTACCCTGCAAAAATAAAAAAAAAATGTTGAGTGAATAAAAAGATGAAGTTTCAAGGGCTTGGACCTGAAATACCTGGAGCAAAATGAAGGAAGAGAAAATGTCTACTAAATGAAAGAATACACATAAAGAACTTATACTACCTGGTACAAAGTAAACATTTAATCTATGTTCATTGTTATTGGTACACAAGTATAATAGGAACTGGGGAGGGAGTTTGTGGGTACCAGGTAGAAAAGGGGAAGGCAAAAGAAAAAAAATGGAGCACAATGGTCCTGGGATAGGGGTATTTGCCAATGAGGACTTTTTTGAGGCAGAAATGGGCAAGGGACATTTAAGAACAGGATACCTAGTACTCACCTTGTTGTAAACCTCACCATTCTTGATCTCAGATCTTCAGTAAAAGTCTACTATACTTATGGTCTGGTGCAGGTGCTATTCTGAAGAATTCAAGAATCTAGGAGCTGTCCAATATAGGTGATGTGGTACAGGCAGTCCAGTAAACAAGGCTCACATTCAGCAGAGGCAGGAGCCATAAGTTATCAGGAGAGAGATAGGGTGTCCAGAAAACTTTAAAATGTTGGGAACAATGTTTTTCTCATTGTGAATAGGATGGAGTTCAAGATCATTTAAATTAATCTCAAAGTATAGGAGATTCTCCAGTAGAGTGGAGTCTTTAGGGATA